TCAATTCCCAGCACTCACGTAGCCACTCACAGCCATCTGTAACACCACTCCCAAGGAACCCTTTTCTGGGCTCTGAGGGTGCTGTACACACATGGTCATGCACAGATATCCATGTAGATAAAAGACCAATAGACATAGAAATGAAGATTTGTAATTTGAGCTGATGTCATTTACATCTGTTTCCTATGGCATCGACTAGAATAACTTGGGTAAGTACAGAAAATGTTTGCTTACCAAGTAACTCATTCATATACCTGCTGAGTTGATGCTGTCAGCTACAAGGTCACTCGGTGCCAAGGATCAGGTTCCTCAGTTTTTCTCTACATGGGCCTTCCTTTGGGACTTCTCAGGCTGCATGGTCTCTCTGGTTCTATCGGGAGCTCTCAAGAAACAAAGATATCCCATCTTACTATTAGGCCTTGTCCTTCTAGCCCTCCTGCCTCCACCCCCAGAGTGCTAAGATTACCTGTATTCACCACCACACTCATTTTCTACACCAATTTTTAATGTTATTAATATCTACTGTATTCAAAGCAGGATTCAGAGACAGAGTAGAGGCAGTGCAGGGGATCGATGCTGACAGTGCACAGCGCGCACGTCCTCTGGTCACACTGACACAGGACCAAAGAGGAGGATGTGCAGGAGCTCTGCATTTGGCCTGAAATTGTCTCAGATTTGGAGACCACGGTACTAATTCTGTCATCTTTGTGCCCTGTGACTCTTCTCCCCACAAATTACATCCAGGAATCTTCCTTTCTCTTTCGTGCTGTTTTTGCACCATTCAGCTCCCCACCTAGTAGCAAACCAACACCCGCTTTATGCTTTCCACCAGCTAATTTTCGTAGAGCATATAAAAATGTGGATTGTCTTCAATTTTTTCCTTTACATCCCTTCTGAAAGAATTTTGAAAAACTATACCTCTGCACATTTTTTTTCAACAATGACAAATTTTGTACCTTGCAGACCTCTGCACATTTTTAAGTTGGCATCTAAAATGTTTTTTATGTGCTAAGTAACTGCAAAGAATGTCAATTTCAGCCTGGCGTTGGTGGCACACGCCTTTAATCCCAGCACTCAGGAGGCAGAGGCAGGCAGATCTCTGTGAGTTCGAGGCCAGCCTGGTCTCCAGAGCGAGTGCCAGGACAGCCAGAACAGCCAGGACTACACAGAGACTCTTGCCTTGAAGAAAAAAATTTTTTTTTACATACTCTTGATTTGTACCCAGTAAAATCTAAAAACTAGCCCATGTTTAAATATATAAAAGCTCTACATTGACATGGTTACTTTTTTTCTCTTCAAGCTATTTGTAGTCTTCTCTAACCCCTTACAGGATTCTGTCCTGATATAACATAATTTTATCCCTTTAAGGCTTTTTTATTATCCATTATATAATATGCATAAAAATATGAATGTAAGTTTATTTAAATTCAGAGTTCTAAATTTTTTCTGATGACTTTAAGCTCTGGTGGGTTATTTTAAATTCTGAGTTCTGCCATTGTTAGGTAGAAATTGCTGTGTTGGTGGCGCTTCTTTTAATTCCAGCACTCGGGAGGCAGATGTAGAGGCAGGCAATCTCTGTGAGTTCAAGGCCAGCCTGGTTGCACTTCTGGCCCTCTGGCCTCTGCTCTCCAGTCCTGGAATGACAAGCATGCCTGCCACACCTGCTTCACAGAGGTGTGTATGGGTGCTGATGTGTGGAGGCCAAAGCAGTCTTGGGTATCATTCCTCAGATACTGTTCACCTTGTGTGTTGAGACAAGATCTCTTGTTGGTTTGGAGCCAGGTAATTAGGCTAGACTAGCTGGCCAGTGAGTCCCAGGAGCCTGGGACTGTCTACCTCTACATCACAGGAAGTAAAAGTGCATGCCACCATGCCTTTTTTTATATTTTTTTTTAATTCTTTTGGTTTTTCAAGACAGGGTTTCTCTGTGTAGCTTTAGAGCCTATCCTGGCACTCACTCTGGAGACCAGGCTGGCCTTGAACTCACAGAGATCTGCCTGCCTCTGCCTCCTGAGTGCTGGGACTAAAGGCGTGTGCCACCAACGCCCAGCTTTTTTTTTTTTTTTTAACCATCTTTTCTCACTTTACATACCAATTTCAGTTCCACTCACTCCCCTTCTCACTCTCCCACCCCCCTAACCCCCACCCCATCCACTCCTCAGAGAGGGCAAGGCTCCCCCATGGAGAGTCAGTGCAGTCTGGTACATCACTTTGAGGCAGGACCAACACCCTCCAAAGAGAATGGGCTCCAAAAAGGCAGTTCAAGCACTAGGGATAAATCCTGGTCCCGCTGCCAGTACATGCCCAGCCTTTTTATGTGGCTACTCAAGCACTTTACCAACTGAGCTATCTCCTCATTTTCTCTTCAATTTGTGTCTATGTGGGTAAATGTAGCTTCTTTTTTTTTTTTTTTTTTTTTGAAAGAATGAGTTTTAGGGCTTAGCATTAATCTTTTCCTTGTTTTCAGAGAGGTGAGTACTGAGTATTACTCACGTAATAAGTAGATGGGAAAGATAGGTGTTACAACCATATGCAGAGTTATGTGGTCCCCAATACAGGGACTCAACTACAAATTCACTGGCGGCTTTTATACTCACAGTTCTCACTTGGCACAATGAAAAGAAGTTCCCACGTGGAGCTCCAGTTGTCTTCTCTTGTGGAGTTACACACAGTGCTAAATTGTCCCGGCAGGAATATGTGATGGTAACATGGAGTGTCGCCAACCAGGAAGGGTCCCTGACCCTTTTGATTAAGGGCTAGTCTCATAGTCTCATATGGTTGGCTGTTTATGGCTGACCTTTGTCTCCAGTGCATCAAAAAATCAGATTGATGCTATGTAACCCCAAACTCTGTATTGCTAATAGCCCAGGGGTGATTCCAAATACCACACAGAGTGAGGGCTGAGTGAAGGCTTCCCAGGAGCCAAAGGAAAAGTCCCAGCCCGCTCTCTGGGCAGGAATACTCCTTTACAGCACTCCGCTACTTGTAATTTGTCATCAAAATGTATTTTAGTAATCATCAGAAAATTCAGTTAACTTCGTTGAAAGCAAAGAATTAAAACCAAGAAACTCTGAAAGAAATTTGTTCATTAGAGCCTAGTTAAATGCTTGAATTTGGAAATGTCTTTGATGTGCCATAATTTTTATAGCTCGTAATGATGTGTACTAGAGTCCATATTGGTAAAATGTCAAGGCCTTTGTAAAATAGAGGTTAGATGCAACAAGGAAAATTCTTTACACATGCACATTTGCCAGTGGTTCTCTGACAAATCAGTTTACTATTAATTTTATCACTGTGTATGCACATACATGTGAGTTCCTATAGAGACCAGAAGAGGGCATTGAGTTCCCTGGAGCCAGAGTCACTGGTGTTTGTGAGCCATAGGGTGTGTGTGGGTGCTCTGGTCTGAACTTAGGTCCTCTGCAAGAGCAGAAGGTATTTATTCTTCACCACTGAGCCATTTCTCCAGCCCCTAGATATAAAAAAAAAATAAATAAAAAGTATGTATGTGATAGACACAGCCCCTGTTTCTCAAGGATCACAGGTCTCATTGGAGAATATATTTATTACATTTGCAAGTTTTAATAATGAGATAAAGTAGTAAGTGATCATTACAGCTGTTGGTGGTGAGGGGGGCATTATTAGAGTTCAGTTAGGTAGGCCCTGGTTTATTCAGATTCCAGACTGCTGAAGAGAGCACAGGAAAGCATTTCAGGCAGTGATGGAGCTGAGGCTGTACAAATGTGAAAGGCAGATTTGTATTTGGATAGTCTTCTCCCTGTTCTTTGCTGTCACCTTCTTAGCTGTATTATCTTGGCAAGCCCCTTGGTTGGTTGGTTGGTTGGTTGCTTGCTTGCTTGCTTGCTTGCTTGCTTGCTTGCTTGCTTGCTTGCTTGCTTGCTTGCTTTGAGCATTGAATTCCTAATCTGTAACATGAGATCTGTTCCTACACCTTGTAGAATTCTTTCAATACCAAATAGGTAGGCGTCCAAAAATCTGAAGTTTTTCAGCCTTTTGGGCTTTTTGAACCTTTCCTGCACTTCCAGGAATAGCTAAGGAAACATATTGAACTGCTGTCCTGTGTGGATGGCAGTCCAGGCTCTTCCTCTCCACTTTGAAGGCGTCCTCTAAGTGGTCTATATTGTCTTAGTTATCCCCAGTTACCTATTGCTGATTTGTGTCATAGAGACTACGCTAAAATTAAAGCTTTACTACAGGTTGATAAAAGGGAGTCACTATGATATAAAACAGGAAATGACTATCTGATGTGTCCATTTCTAAAATCCATCAGGCCTGTCTAGAATGGTTCTCCTTTCTTTCTAATTTGCCCCTCCCAAAATCCTCTCTCTTGGACCCCCTCTTCCCTGAGACCCAATAATCTTAACCTAGCTCTACCCACCCTCAAAAGGGCCAAAATTTTTAAAGTTAAAAAAAATTAGAAAAACTAACTCTGGTGAAGACAAGTCTTTCTGCCTTGCAGGACGGAAGACTAAGCTTCAGCTGTCCTGACCTCCTCTCTTTGGAGGATACTTCTGATGTTGGAGTGGCTAAATGGCCCAAGACTTGCCACAACAAAAGCCCTTAGCTGCAGTTGCCAAGTGGCTGCTGTGGAGTGTCTAACTGTTTTGTTCCCTGCTACACATGTATAAAGGACTTAGCAACCATGGTGCCCAACAATAAATAGCACTCGGTAATCTCTTGGAAGGAAAAGTGCTATAATCATCTGCATGTCTTTGAGCCTTTACCTTGTCATGAACACTGCTAGACACCAGTGACACAAGAAGAGGGGTCATGAGACAAACAAGCTTGCATCTTGTTGGTGTGGGTTCCCCACAGGCTGTGATGGCTTAGGAGACCAGACACTAGCATCGTTTTTTATTTTAGCTTATCAAAGTTTAAGTACATATAGGAGGGTACAAATAAGTACATAGTTGTTATATTTTCATTGCTGATATATCTGCTTATTAATAAGAGTGTATGATTTGCCTATTTCCCTTTAGATAATTTTTATGGTGGGACGAGGATATCTATCTCCAGATCTCAGTAAGGTACGGAGTAACTGTCCGAAAGCCATGAAGAGATTAATGGCAGAGTGCCTCAAAAAGAAAAGAGATGAGAGACCACTCTTTCCCCAAGTAAGAAACCCTTCATGATACCCCAGGGCACCAACTAACCTTCATAAGCTGATTTTTAGCATGATGCGGGCGAGTGAGAGATATGGTTTGGATTCTGAGTTGGTCCTCTGCACATCCAGGTGAGCAAACAGGGCAGTGACTTCATGAAGGCTGAGCAGAATTGGGGATTCCAATACAAGCTCTTTAGCAGGACTTTGCGTTTGCCCAGCAGTTCTCAAACTTTTAAGACTTATTTTATTTTGTGTATGGGTGTTTTGCTTGCATATATATGTGTGTACCACTTGTGTGCCTGGTGCCTTCTGAGACTTGAAGGAAGTCAGATCCCCTAGAGCTAGAGCTGTAACAGCTGTGAGCCATCATGTGAGTTTTGAGAACTGAGCCATCTCTCCACCCTAGTCCTCAAACATTTTGATCTTGGCATCCTTTCATATTTTAAAATAGTTAAAGACCATGAGAGGGCTTTTGTTTGTAAAATTAACAATTATGTAAACAATGAAAAGAAATGAACAAAAAAACTAGTTTTGATTTCGTTTTTTCCCAAATGTTTTTGTGTAATTAACACACTTGGATTCTTTCTTTTGTACTCATTGTACTTCAGCATCGTATACTATGTTGCCTTTGACAGTTTACTTAGAAAAATTCTATGTACACTTTGACCTGGGGTTATTCTTGATAACAAAACAGATTCTAAGTTTTCTGTCCATACTAGATTTTCTTATTTTTTAATTTTTTACTTAGGTATTTGTTATTTCAAGTTTGTATTATTTATTTATATATTGCTTTATTATATCTTAATATTGTTATTAATTTTATTATTTTTATATTAATATAGATGTATAGTATAATGGGGTCTTACTTTATAATACTGTAGGGTATCATAACCTGATACATGCTAGGAATCCTGTGGTGGCCTGAAACTCAAAGATATCCACCTGCCTCTGCCTCCGCCTCAAGGAGTCCTGGGATTAAAAGTATGGTGATGTACACCACCCCATCTAGCTTAGATTTTTTTGTGTGTATGTTGGGAGGGTGTTGTGTGTTTGTGTGGGCATGGGGGAGGGCGGGGTGGGGTGACATTTGTGGGAGTGCCCAAGGAGAAGAGAAGAAGGTATTGGATCCCTAGAGCCAGAGTTTCAAGTTTGTAATTAGATCTATATTTTTACTTACCATCTGAAGGATGATAAATGATCTAAAATACAAGCAAACACTGTGAGTGACTTTACTTATTCAACTGTGTGTGTGTATAAAACCTGTGTTATTGTGCTAGCTTTTGACTTTTGTGTTTGTGGGAAAATACCAGTTTCCCTTGGTTTATTAATTATACTGAAAACAATGTAAAGTGTCAAGTAAGATGCATTATGAGTATGAGGAGCTCTTAAAGATTTATACTACCCAAATTTTACCTGTGTTTTTTTGTTTCTTGTTTTCTATTTGTTTCCTCCTCTGCCCCTTCCTTCTAGATTCTCGCCTCTATTGAGCTGCTGGCCCGCTCATTGCCAAAAATTCACCGCAGTGCATCAGAACCCTCCTTGAATCGGGCTGGTTTTCAAACGGAAGATTTTAGTCTGTATGCTTGTGCTTCTCCTAAAACACCCATCCAAGCAGGGGGATATGGTGCGTTTCCAGTCCACTGAAACAAACTAAATGAGTGAGACATTAAAGTAAGGTAGCAACAGAAACAAGTGAACAATTTTCCTTATGTTTAAATTAACTAGGATACTCTGTTATTTACAGGGGAGCCAAAGAATGTTTGTGTTTAAAAACTTAGCAATTGCTTTCCAAATCTTAAAAATCATACTGAACATTGAATTTTCAACATCAGTGGGTTAAAATACACAAACACTGCTAAACATTGGCAGTGCCTCTTTGAGAGGCTTTACTTCCTAGTCTGAGTTTGTTTTGTTCTCTTGGCTATTCCTGTTATTAAACTCTAGGTTTCTCTCTCAGTTTACTCATACAGCTTTTGTTATTAACTGTCACTTGTCATAAGACATCCAGAGGAAGACTTCCCTCTTCGTGTTCACAGGTGGGAAGTATACTGTAGGCTAGCCTCTATCAGCTGTGCAAACTTGATAGAATATAGAACCAGATAATCTTGGGTTTTATTCTATTTGCCTATAGCTATTTCTTTTTACTACAGTTTAGGAAGTATAGAGTCCTTTATTTCTTTGAAGCAATAAATAATTTCTTTTAATTGCTTTTGGGTATGAGTGGCCAAAAATATCAATCAGTAGCTCATTTGACATAGGTAATATGACTTAAGTTTGGATTTTTGCTGGAGAGTACAAAGTAGGTTCTTCTTAGATGATATTTCTATGTTAAAAGTGTCTTACGTGTGTAGAAGTCAAAGTTCTTTGCAAATGCCCTGCCCTTTATTCTCACTCCCTTCCCCAAAAGAAACTTTACAAAATCCTGAGAATCTGTTTGTTTTTAGTTAGTTGGTTTTTGAAGTTGCTATGTTAGGTTATGCTTACCTGTTGATGTATGTACAGCAGTCACTTAGCATTGCATCTCATCATTTTCTTCGTTGGTCCGACAAGGACCCCCCCCCATAGAAGTAAAATATGTACTTCTAATGTTTACATTTTTTATGTATAGAAAATGAGTATAATGTAACCATGATGGAATATTATTTTCTGGTGATTTGGAGAGAATCTAAAAGCAAAAAAGTAGAATCATGTGGTCTTCTAAAAAATCCTGCCATCTCTACTTCATAGTCACCTAGCAACCAAAGCCTATTGATATTCAGTTACTCCGTTTAGACTTGTGATAATGCTTAAATACAACCCAAAGCAAAAATAATTATTTAACAGACAAACCATATTTGCATACATGTTATCCTTCTTTGGAAAAAATAAAGCATATAATTGGGAAAACTTTAATGATAAATGAGTTTGTAAGTGCCACAGATATTTTCCTTACTTACCTTGTTATATTTCATAATAAGGAACCCACCTATTATTATGACTTGTCTTTTGTCCCTCATTTGGATAAGTTGAGATGCCATCATAATTTTATATACTGATTCATGATCCTAAATATAAAAGGAAACATTTCTCATATTACAAAAAAAAAAAAAAAAAAAAAAAAAAGCCAGTTCAATGAAATCAGGATCACAACAAGTTCAAGGCAGGCCTGGGCTACATAAAGTCCCTGTCTCGGAAAACCTAGGACTTAGATAGAGCTCAGTGGTAGATAACTTTATAGAATGTGCAAGTGCTTGTATAGAGTTTGATCACCAGCACAGGAAAAGGAAATGAGGAAAAAGGATTTCATACATTGTGATATATTAGAAACCATCAAAACTCGTGATTTCTAAATCTTCCAGTAACATAAAGATGAGTTTATTGGTAGATATTGTTGCATGTAGTTTTCACAAAATTTACTTGGTCCATAGAATATGCAAACATTTTGAGCATATGAAAAATCAAAGGACTTTTTTTAATGGAGCTCTTTCTATAATCTCCCAGCATACCTGGTTTACTAGTGTTTTCCTTTCCTCATTCACTGTCTTTCTCCTCAGCACTACCATGCCCAGTACTCTACCATTTCATTTGACTGGCTCACAAGGGAAGAATATTAAAATAGGATAGGTAGATGTATAGGTAACGTAGATCTAGAGAAATAGAAAGCACCAGGGTTAACTGAGTTTCCCTTTCTGTGTGTGTGTGTGTGTGTGTGTGTGTGTGTGTGTGTGTGTGTTTTTGTTAGTGGTGCTTGCCTGTTTGTTTTGCCATGACTTCTAGTTTTCTCATAAAAGATTTTCTATACATAAAAAATGTTTTCTTTTCTAGGCCTTTATTAATTTTTAAATTGCATAATTTTGGGCAAGTTTCTGGACCACTCTGAACCTTGTTCACACCTTGTTCATCTATAAAACAGATTCCTTGTGCAGCCCAGGTTGGCCTGAAACTTTAGATTTTCTTACCACTACCTGCCAAGTACTGGGTTTCCAAGTATGAACCACAGTGCCTAGCTTCTTTCTTTAGGCTCAACAGTGCCTTGGATAGTTTCTCATTAGAAAGAATCTTTGATGGAAAGAGCCTATAGCCCAGTTAGTTGTATTCAGAGACAAAAAGTAAAACTTAATTAAAACTTGTTTAGAGAGCTGAGAGAAATGGTAATCCTGTAATCCCAGCATGAGGAAGAGGAGGTCAGAGTATGGCAAGGTCATGAGGTCATGAGCACCTTGCTAATCTCAGCATGTAAATTTTAAGATTCCATCTGCCATGTTGGGTGTTGGTGGCACAGGCCTTTAATCCCAGCACTCGGGAGGCAGAGGCAGGGGGATCTCTGTGAGTTCCAGGCCAGCCTGGTCTCCAGAGACACTGCCAGGATAGGCTCCAAAGCTACACAGAGAAACCCTGTCTGGTGGGGGGGGGGGGGGGGGAGAGACTCTGTCTGCCAGTATTTAGCAATGATTACTTAGAGCCAGGCAGGGTGGGCAGATGTTGTGTGGCTGCGGCCCACCTGCCTGCACTGTGAACAGGAGGGCTGACCTGCAGTATGACTCAGCTGTGAAACTCCTTGCAGCTTTTTCTTTTCTTGGTACAGTTGAGCTGCTCTTCACATGCCATGCACATACACTTGTGTTCTTTTGTGGATTCCAGTGACTTGAGGGTTAAACTGTGTTACAAAGTTTGTAATATATTTAACTAGTCACCTTTCAGTGAAATTGAAATGAGGCTTTTCTGTCTGAAGTTCTTTTGAGATGACTTTTTAAAATCAGCTCTTGTCCTCCCTCTACAGGAGAATTTGCAGCCTTCAAGTAGCCACTCCATCATGACAGCATCTGCTCTTTATTTCTTGAGTCTTGTGTTCATACAATTTGTTAACATCAAAACACAGTTCTGTCCCTCAAATCATTTTTTAAAAGATACAAAATTTTCAATGCATAAGCTCGTGTGGAACAGAGTGGAATTTCCTATTCAACAAAGGAGGGAAGAATGTTTTAGGAATCAGAATTCTCTGCTGCCCGTGTTTCTTCTTCAACACAAATATCACCTGCATACAAGTCTGCCCATTCCCAGGAAGAAAGAGGAGAGACCCTGAATTCTGCCCTTTTGGTGGTCAGGCATGATGGAAAGGATTTGCCGCTGCAGCTTGGGAAATTTGCTATGGAAAGCCTGCCAGTCACCTTTGCCCTTCTAACCAGATCCATTTGTGGCTGGTCATCTGATGGGGCGATTTCAATCACCAAGCATCGTTCTTGCCTGCTCTGGGATTGTGTTGTGGAGCGCTTTCCCTGTCTATCCACCACGGTTAATTTCTGAGGGACGGAGTAAATGCAGCATGCCCTTTGTGCAGCACCTGTTTAGTCCTCAACAAGTGGTGTCACCGTGAAGCTCTTAGGTTCTCGTGGAGGGTGAGAGGCAAGGAGAGGCTGGCTGTGCTGGGCAGAGAAAAGGGGATGCTGCATCTTCCTCCTCACCTCCCGCGCTCCCCTTGCTCGGGTTGCCTCACTCCCTGGGCTCTGCCTAACACTCGGGCTGGACAGTGCTGGCACACACTGCCTTCTTGTCTCGTGGGTCCAGCAACAGAGGTGAGGGCTGGGGGGTTGTCTCCTCCACAATGTAGCAAATTCTCAGGAAAATACAGTCCATATCTTCCTCTCAGCTCTTCCAGTCACCAAATACTTATGTGGCTACATTGTCCAGGGCACAAAATGTCATGGACAGCATCTAATTAAAAGCCTACAAAACTGCTTACTGACAGTTTTGAATGTGAGAAATTAGTGTAATTTAAATGTAAGGTACATGTTTTAATTTCTGAGTTTCTTCTATTTTTATTTTTTAAAAAATAATTTTCAGGTTTAATTGGAATGAAAGAATACTTCCCACCAGAATATATATCCTGAAAATTATATTTTTGTTAATTGTAAGCAACTTTTAAAGAATGATTATTATCCTTTTCTTTACCTAAAATTATGGGGAGTCTTAGCATAATGACAGTTATTTATACTTTTTAAATTAATGGTACTTGCTGGATCCACACTAACATCTTTGCTAACAACCCCATTGTTTCTTCCAACTTACTGCCTACACTACAGCCTACACCCTCCTTCTAGTCTTTTATCTATAACATGCAACCGAAAATAAAAATGGTGGTGTCTTCATTCATTCTCCTTCTTCCTTTCTTCCCAAGCCTGGTCTTCAAAAGGTTGGGTAATTTAGTTGCTGAGTTCCCTAGATAGAAATAGAACTGTTGGACATTGGAGTTGCAGGAAGATATGAGACCTGTCAGCAGTTGTTTTTATACAACCCTAAATCTTACCTTTGCACAGATCAAAAGTATTTATAACTTCCCTTGGCCTTTAATTAAGGGTGATAAAATCACCATAGTAGCAAAGAAAGTGACGGAATGCATTAATGGCCAGTACCTCTCTTATCCAGAAATAAATTATTAAATCTAGAAATGCAAATTAAAAGAGATGTACTTAGCCAAGAACTTGAAAAAATACTATGAAATCTAAAATAAAATGGAACTTTTAATTATTTTCAAATTTCAAAGCATAACTGATCCCACTATATATTTAAGCCTACTCAAAACATGATTTTTTTGCTAAAATATCTGTCATGAAAGGAAGGCCTACTGAAAATTTTATGAATTCCCAGTATATTGGAAAATATTCTGAAGTTTGTATTAGCTGGAGTTAGCAGCAAAGCATTTTTCAGTCTTACACAAGTAGAACAATATCTTACAAACGCTCGAAACTGATATGAAGATGACTCGCTCAGATGAAGAAAAGCCTGTGCATAGCATGCGCTGCACTTGGGAAGGCTTTGCTCCCTTACCCAGGGTCAGCTCAAAAGAGCTGCGCCTGACCATCCATGCACATTTAGGGCCTGCTGAGGAGTTAGAGCCTCCCGGCTTCCTTGGTACAGGGCCACGTCCTTGCTGGGAGAGGGGCCAGCAAGCTTAAGGAGGGAGCTTAGCATGCCAGTGGCCTAGACAAAATGCAAAGGGACCCTTCTTCTTTCCTGTCAGCATAGGTTGCTGTCTTACCTGAAAAGGGAAAATAGAGTTGACATTAAATGAAGCTGTGCCCAGAAGCCAGGCTCAGGGTATTGAGAGATTTTTTTTTTTAATAGAGAATATAAAAAGTAGAAATATTTAAACCTTTTTTTCTGTCAAATCGTTTTTTTCTTCTTGTTTACAAACAACGTGAAAAGGTTTCCTTTGTGGGTTTTTTTCTTTACTTTTTTATGCTTAGACTGCAGATAATCTTGTTGAGCGCCTAAGAAAATACAAGGAAACGCTTGTTTGTGCAGAGCACTTTATGAGTAATTGTATGGACAGGAAGTGGCTGCTTCACTGTCTCTTAAGGCTGTAGCTGTCAGACCATGAAGCGGTTGCAGTGCCTCCTGAGATCTGTTCTGTTTAGGTTAAGAGGGAAGTCTTGGAAAAGCAACTATATAGAATAGTTTTTAAATATGTAGTATTCCTGACAGACTCTTTCACCATTAAGCTACAGGACCCAAACATTTGCCACTGAGATATTATTAACCTCAAAATGTAGTTAATAGAAGGAATTTGTGAATAGAATGTCCAGTGTGATCATTTGTACTTATATGCATCTTCAGCGAAGATTCTGTGTAACCGTCAGATTCTGGTTCCTGAACAGCCCATCTCTTAAGTGTGTGTGAGGTCTGGGAGGGCACAATGAGGCATCCTAAAAGATGGTCTGATCCAAACTATGTGCTAGATTTCCGCTGGTAGGGGAGAAAGCGTTACATAAAGATGCAATTCAAGATTCAGCACTGTTGACCAGAAACCTTGTAAATACTTGTCGGTCTTGGTGCAGCCCTACTTCTCTTACCACGTGACCTCTTGTACTTGTCAGGCACTGTCAGCTGCTGTTTGTCCCTCTTCAGACCTCACCTGTCCCCACTGCACATCCGCCTCCCAGCCTCTTGCAAACCTCAGCGTCTAGCTTTAGTTGGAAACACAGTGCAGGGACCAGGTGACCTCTTCAAAAAAACTACCTCCTCAGAAAGAGGTAATGAATAGTTATTTATTTTAAAGTATGAAAGTCAGGAGCTCTAGAACATGAAGATGATGTAGGATTTTAACTTTTATGTGTATGTGTGGTTGAACACTCGTGTTGTCCTAAAGGGCATTATACATTTAAGCAGCGACACTGTTGAAATTTTTTTTCTTTAAAGGTGTAGCTCAGAGTGTCTGTTGTTGGAATTGGTGCCAGAGTCTGTTCAGTATATTTCAGAATCTTAACCTTAAGTCGCATGAAGTTAAATAGTTATGGTAACACTTTGCTAACCGTGGTATAATTCTGCTTTTCAGTAGTAGGTTTGGCAAAACAGCACACCTTCATAGTGAGTTGACCACAGCTTTGTCTCATGCACAGATGTTCATCTAAAGAGACTGCCCAGCTAAGAGGGTAGAAGGATACCCCCCTTTTTTTTTTTTAAATAAGATTCTCTTCTTTGTCCAACTTGGCATTGTTAGTGCTATAATATCAGCACCTTGACCAGCAGATGTCAACCAATAAGCTATTTTTAAAACCATAGCCAGAGATGGAAAGTTCACTGTGAGTAGAAACAGCAGGTAGCTTACAGGAGTGAAACAGTGGGGAGGCTCTAGAAAATACCTTGACAATTTGCCAAATGATCTTACTGTGCCTTCATGATGCAATAAAAAAGCTAACATTTTAGCAGAAATCAGTGATTTATGAAGAGAACAGCCAGTCTGGTTTAACTCAGCTGTGTTATTTTTTAGAGTGCAATTTAGATTGCGAAGATAAATGCACTAAAGAGTTTATAGCCAAAATCATTTTAAAAAAAAATGAGAAAATGGTAAATTTTCAATGAAAAAAATTATTTTTTTAAAGCACATAATCCCTAGTATAGTCAGAAATATTTACCACATAGAGCAGTTAGGTTGAAAATACAGTTCAGTGACATTCCTAGGCAAACTTTTTCTACTCCCATAGGCTCTTCAAAGCATGGAACTTTTATACACGATGTTTGACATTTTAAGATACTGCTGTAGTTTAGTTTTGAAGTAGTATGTGCTGGGCAGCATTCATGTACTAACTCAGTGAGAAGAACACATTGTAGATTTGTTTCCAGAGAAATGCTGCCAACCTAGACACTGAGTGTTCAGAGCTCGAAGTGTAAACTTGCCTCCCAAGACCTGTTTGCAAAGGAAGTTGGCTAGTGCTACTGACTGCTCTGGTGCATGGTTTAAGACAGGGCTGTCTCTGCAAGTGTCTTTTGTAAAAGACTTGGCTAATGCATGTCAACTGGACACTCCATGCTGTGCCTCTTGCATCCTCTTTCCTCACTGTCCCCCAAGAAATTCCATGTTTCCCCTAGTGTGTCTTGTAGCTGCTTCATCCAGATTGCAAGATGAATTCTTACTGATGTAGGAAGAGACTGAAATTAAAGATCAGTGTATTTGTGGTCCATACTGCTAGCTCTTGTAGAGTTAAAGATGCTGGCCAGATGTTTGTTATATCAGTACACCAAACAATAACTTTAATAGTTTCAGATAACCTATTTCTACTTCCATTTGGACAGGGACATTTAAATTGAAATTCAGAAATTGTTGTCATTTGGAAGGAAATGTTAACAGTTCCTATGAGGTATTTTTGAGGTAGAATATGAAGTCCTAATTTTTTTTCTTTTCCCTGGGGTTTGCAGTGAGGGCCTTGTATGCACTAGGCAAGGATTCTACCACTGAGCCACATTTTAGTATGTAAAATGTTA